GGGGGGTGGGGGGAGGTGGGGAGGATTAAAACGTTCTTTTATAATTATGGAAACTCGAGTTGGGACGTAGAGTGATGAGCCCAAAGTGCAAGTAGTGCTCAAAAGAAAGGCTATTTCTATCTTCTTCGATCTTAGATCTTGGTAAGCTTAATATCTGATTCTTGTCATTGTTTTTTCTCTTCATTTTTGTAATCATTAATTCATTCTCTTCGTACGATGTTAGTTTTCGAAAAAAAAGGCTCTATCCTCTTTTTCGAAACACGCTATCTGTTCTTCTTACAGTTGTGGGCATGTTTATTTTACAATGTGAACATTAGTTCTATCCAAATAGTTTAGTGATCTTCTTCATCTTTGTACTCTTGTTTATTTTGTGCAGATTCTTATTGGCAAATATTTATATGATGCCTCCTAAGGGCAAAAAGCAATATCACTGTCAAATTTTACCTCTCGATATGCTTAGCAGCCTCCCTGAGAATGTAATTGATGATATTCTTCTGCGCTTGCCTTTACGAGATGTTGTGAGGACTAGCATCTTATCAAAGAAATGGAGGTATAACTGGTGCAGACTTCCAGAATTGGCTCTTGATCAAACACTCTGGATAACCAAAAAGGATTTAATGTACTTTGCACATAAATTCACAAAGATTGTCACCCACTTTATGAGATTTCATGATGGACCAATCACGAAGTTCACCCTCTTCATTCCTTATTTGGAAAGATCTCCTAATATTGACAAATTGATACGTTTCCTCTGTAGAAATGGCATTCGGCATCTTGTTCTTAGACTTCCAATCAGGGGTAACCTGTACGAATTGCCGCCTTCATTTTTCACATGTTTCGAGTTGAGGCATTTGACTCTCCAAAATCTTTTAATACTTCCTCCACCAGCCTTCAGAGGATTTGATAGGCTAATTATCCTGGAATTACGTGATGTTACAATTTCTTCCAAGTTGCTTGAAAGTTTAATCTCTCATTGCTTGTTGCTTGAGCAATTGGTGCTGCAGATCTCAAGTGCTTTAAGCGAAGTCATTGGAATTAACGGTCCCATGCTGAGATCTTTTGACTTCACAGGCAGTATGAGTTCTATCTGTTTAAAAAGTACCCCTCTTCTGGCAAAACTTTCACTTACGCATAGGGAATATTATGTGGCGGCACGAAAAAGTAATATTGCCGAGTTTTTTGAGTCCTTTTCTGCTATAGAGTACCTCCACTTAAATGACATGGTAAATGTTGCTTCATGGCTTCATTATATTGCAGTTTCAATGATTGAACATCTTTTGGGCTATGAGTTATCCTGATTTTTGCCTCTTTTTTTCTAAGTCCTTTGTTGCAGGAGCAGGTGAAATACCAACAAGGCTTTTGTTTAATCTTAACTGTGTCAAACATCTTCGCATATCTAGTATTTTTCTGGGTTGCTGGGATGAGGTTGCATGCGCTCTTTGTCTGATAAGAAGCTTTCCATTTTTACAATATATGGAAATTAAGGTTCTCTTGGCTTTCTCTTTTTGTATAGTGGCTTTCTAATTTTGGTACTCCTTAAATCATCTATAAGCTTAGGGAGTTGAGTTTTTGTTAATCTTTCTTAGGTGGAGCGCGATGACAATGATATACCAGCTCTCAAATGTCTTGATGTGGAATGTTTCTCAGATGTGTCATTTAATCACCTCAGGGAAGTTAAGCTAATACAAACTAATGGCACAATCCCTGAGATGCAGCTTATGAAGCTTTTGTTGGCCGTGTCTCCCGGGCTGGAGAGAATGCTAATCGAGCCATGTCTAGTTGAAGATTCTGCAAATGTCAGAATACTCGCCGAGCTAACAAAATTTCAGCGGGCATCACCTGAAGCAGAAGTTGTCTATAAGTTGGATAAGCATCGATATTATGACCATCCTGTTTGATCGCCACGGCACTTAATCAGATCATGATCTTTTGCAAAAGTGTTTTGGGAGTTGAAGGGAACAGATAGAAATGAATGTTGATGTACTTGTATAAATCTGTGTTTTGCCAATTGCCATAAGAGTGAAAGAAGTATGAACATCAGTTTGGGGATGTAAATGATTGTGGATATATGGTTTCTTTTGACTTTGTCATTACAGTTCTTAGCTTTTTACTTTACTTGGGTTATAAATATTAGTTACCATGTGACCAGGAGGTCATGGGTTCGAGTCATGGAAAAAGCCTCTTGCAGAATTGTAGGATAAGATTGCGTATAATAGACCTTCGTAGTCTGGTTCTTCCCCGACCCCGCGCATAGCGGGAGCTTAATGCACTAGATTGCCCTTTTTTTATTTGATTTCTACTGTGAATCAAGTAATATCTTAAGATTCATAAAGCAATGTTGATCTTCGCATCTAAAACTTGGTCTTCTCATTCTTAATCAAGTACTAACTTGTTATTCTATGTTTTGACTGTCAAATACATTTGCATATTACTAAAAGTACTAGTACAACAGTCAATTAATACATTTTTTAAATTAAATGTGAAATAAACAAATGTGTAAGCTGTAAAGTTAAATCTATAACATTTGTATTTTACTAAAAGAACTAGTACAACAGTCATAGAAATACATGCTGACTCGATATCTGGTACTCAATAATTCTGTAATAATTTTGCACTTTTAAATTTAAATAATTTGACACTGGTGTTTTTTTTTTGTGTGTGTGTGTGGTGGTGGGGG